AAATATATAAAATGTCACAACGTCTCCCGAACAGTCTTGAGCTCCTAATGTAACATTACAATTTTGGGAAAAAAATACACAAATAATTTAGAGCAGAGACTCAAAGAAGGGTAATAAGAATGAAAATGAGGAGAGCAGCAACCAGAATGGCCAACAAGACGAAAAACAGCTGCCACAGAACTTGGGCACTGGCCCACCTCAGCAAACCCGTCAATCCAACGGCCAGGATGTTGTCAGGCAGGAGATTAATTAAGAGTGTTCTTCCATGCTGGTATCAAGGAGCCTAAAATCTTTATGGTAAAACTCCAGACCAAGTTCTTCTCAGAGAACACCACAAAATGACTAAAGAAGCAAATGAATGGGCCAAGGAAATTAATTGCAAGGTCTTATATCCTCGCAGCTGCTTTAATCGTTACAATTATGTTTGCAGTACTTTTTAAAGATCTTGGAGGGAAAAATCAACACCCCGGCATCTCCAAATTATTGCACGGAAAACAGCTTTCCTGGTTTATAATATGTGATGCAATGTCCCTCTTTACTGCATCAATTTCCTTGTTGGGCTTCTTGAATATACTCGCATTATCCCATGGTAAAAATAATTTTCATCGAGTTCTGCCTTGGCAAATGATGTTTGCTATTTCTGCACTCATCATTTCAATGGCAACAATGGTCCTGGCCTACATTTTTGCTCTTACCATTATGTTACAAAGGAAGTCTTTGGTGCTGCCAAATATAGTAATTTACGTACTTGTATTTCCCATCTCCTTTTGTTTGCCACATTATTTGGGACCGGGTGGCAGTGTCTCAACATTTCCGATTTTTATAGATTGAAGTTTAGCTCAATAACCTGTAATGTATAAGATATATATATAGTCAAAGGATTGGATTTAAAGCATCTTCCTTAAAAAGTATTTGTTGGCGTCAAATTACTTGTATTTAAAAAAAATATATATTGTAGTGTCTTGCAAACATTATATGAAAATCTTTTAGTGCAAGAGATACTATATAAAATTGTAAATTTTGTGTTACAATTTTATATAGCATTATTACTATAAAATCATTGTAAAAACTTATATTTAAGTATTATGAGTAATGAAACCCTATTTTGTATATATGATTTAATAATGTTTTGCTTATAACCATTTGATATTAGTCATGTTTTTATTTTTAAAAGTAAAAATAATAAAAAAAGAAAAGTAAAATTAATAAAAAAAAAGTAAAATTAATAAAAAAAAAAGAAAAATAAATTGAAAAGTGGAACGACAGCATGGTAGAGATGAAATTGCTGTCGATACCAACGACTGCCTCATGTTTGCTAAAATATATTTATTTTTTTAAGTTTTTGGTTTATATTATATTGACGAGCTTCTTTTAGTTTTTTTATTTGATTTTACATGGATTAATTTCATTAGATATTTAAAATTTTAGGAATTATTGTTAAGAGTTTTGTTTTGAATTTGAGTTCTTTATAATATACTGGTAGATAAAGTTCATATCATTATAGTACTATTACCGAAAAATTAGAGTCGAATTAATTGTCAAAAGACTCAAAACTCAAAAGTCCTTCAGTACAAAGCCTGCCATGCCCAGTGGCGGAGCCAGGGGTGCGAGGGAGGCGCTTGTCCCCCAGAAATTTGAAAATCTTGTAAATTAGTATATAATTAGTATATAAAAAATTATTTAATTCCCTCTAAACTTTAAAAATTTTAGCATCTTGCCCCCCTAAAGAAAATTTCTGCCTCCACCCCTGGCCATGCCCATGCCCACCCGAATAAAAGGATGGCTGAAAAGAAAAATATGCTGATCTTCACGCCCCGGCCAATGCCATAATCCTTGATTAAAGTGAGGATCACTTACATGTTCGAATTCAAGGATCTCTCAAATTACACCGTTTAAAAAGAAAAAAAAAAAAAAAGGGGGGGGCTTGTAAATGGGGTTGAGTTTGGGTTACTAAACTGAAGGCCCGTTAAATATGTACGCCATCCCAATTCTCCCAAGACAATTTGTTAGGCTAAGCCCAGCAAATCCACATATGGGTCTGCCTTTAAATAAAAAGTTAAATATGTCAATTTTAATTTCTTAATTTTAAAATTTTATGGATATTTTATTATGTACTTACTTTTTTAATGGCAAAACCATAAGTTAAGCCCCTAAACTAACCCCAGAATTGCTATTAAGCCCCCAGAGTTTAATTGATGCACATAAGCCCCCGAACTCTACAATAGAAACAATTTAGCTCTTACTAGCACAGCAACTTAACTGCTGTTAAGTGCCGTTAATTGCGATTTGAGGACTGCCTCGTGTGGCCAAATATAGTCATCTGATGCTTACGCGACAACGGATTTGACATTTGGTTTATCCAATTAGATGAAAAAAATAATAATAATAATTTAGAAATAATTTTTATATTATCTTTTGTATAAATTTATATATTATTTAAATAATTAACTTTTTTATTCATAAATTTACTTAATTTTTATTCTAAAAATACAAATTAAAAATACAATAAATATATTTTTTGTAATAAATTTATGTTAAAAATTAAAATTAACTTTTAATTTTTTAATTATCTAATTAAATTCATTCATTCAACACCAATACTAAAATTAATATTAATTTTTATATTTTTATATACATTTATGATAAAAAAAACCCTTAAATTGTGCTATATTAGAAAGATATTTATTTATTTAAAACCTGTAATATTAAATACATTTACTCATTTAACAATATGTAAAAATTGTATAAAAATGTTATAAAAAAATTATCTTTATATCACAAAAAAAAAAACAAATAGAGAAAAAAAAAAGGGGAAAAAGTGGTCCTATATTACTTGAGGCTTCTTTTTATTTTTTATTTTCTTTCTCCTTTTTTTTGTGTAATTTTTTATATAATTTTTACATATTATTAAATATTTAATATTACAGTTTCGAATAAATAATGATTTTTTTGACTTGTACCCTTAAAGTACAAGTTAAGATTTTTTTTTATATATTTATGATAAATTTTAGCATTGGTATTCAATAGATAAATTTAATTGAACAATTAAAAAATTAAATGTTAACTTTTATTTTTTAACATAAATCTATTAGAAAAATATATTTATTACATTTTTAATTTGT